CGCCGCGCGCCGGCGGCGGCGGGGAGCGCCGCGACGCGAGGCGCCGGCGGAATCCATAAATAAAACAATTGGTTATATACATATGTTTTTCAAATCGACGAATGCTATTATATATTTTGTATTGAGCACTCGCGGCACACTCCGAGGAGGGTTGAGAGACGAACGGGGGAGACGGACGCACGCCGACGCCCGACGAACTACCCCGCGACGAGCGCGGGCGAGCGCGCGTCTGTTTTTATAAAGAGCACACGGGCACGACGACTCGCGTCGCGTCGCGCCGTGCCGCGCGGCTTATAATCTCGCCCAATCCGCGGCTCCACTCATAAAGTATACGGCGGAACAAAAAAAAAAGAAGAAAGAAAGAGAGAAAATCGTTATAGAATAATCAAGCCGTCGCACGTTCGCTCGCTTTCGACCGCCGCCGCGCCGTCGGGAGACACACGCGGCTTCTTCTCGGTCGCGCATCAGCCGTCGTCGACGTCGTCGTCGTCGTCGTCGTCGTCGTCGTCATCGTCGCCGTCGCCGCCGCCGTCGCCGTCGCTGCTCCTTGCGACCGAAGATGCCCCGTCGTTGTCCGGGTACATGAAGACGTCGCGTCGTGGGCCGACTCGGCGGTTCGGCGTTTCGTTCTAGTCTTGGGAGGAAAAAAGAAAAAGAAAAAAGATCGCCGACGTGTCTCCAACGAAGCCTCGCGTCGGCGTGCCGCCGTTACTACCCGCCGAGAGGATCGGCTGAAACGAAAAAGTCTTCCAGCGGAACGAGAAGAAAAATTGTTCCCCCCCCCCCTTCTCCTCCTCCTTCTGGCACGCCGTTCTTCCTTTTTTTTTTCGTTGTTTCACCTCTTTGTCTCTCTCTCTTTTCTTCGCCGATCTCTTCGTTTTTCCTTTTTTTCTCCTCGTTTCCGCGCTCTCCCGGTTTCTTTTTGAAAAATGGGCACGGCGGCACGCGATTTCGAGCAGCAGCGCGATCGGCAAGCCGACCGGTCCGCGGCGCAGTGTCGGATCTGTGCGACCGATATCGCCACCGACGACGGCGGGATGCACATTTTCGCCGAGGACGGCCGGCGTCATTATCTGCAGACCAAAATACGGAAATACCTGCATATCTTGGTAAGTGAGACGCGAGCGCGCTTTCGCGCGTATCTTCGCGCGGCGGATATCTCTTTTTTTTCCCTCTCCCTCTTTTTTTCCCCTCTCATTTCCTCTCTCCCTTTCTCTTCCTCATATTTTTTTTTCAAAATTCGCCCTCCCCCCTCTCTCTCTCCTCTACGCGGCAGGTGTCGCGATCACGTGCCGGTCGCGGCCGAATTTCGAAATTCACGTCGACGTCGCTCGGCCGATCTCAGCCGATTTTTCGAGATCGATCGAAATCGCACATCGATTTTCCCCGCGAAGATTTGTGTTGCGATCGCGACGATTTTCCGCGATCACTGTTCGCAAAAAATCGGCGATGAAAAATATTTCACGGCGATTTGGAGTCGCCGATCGTCTCTTCGATCTCGTCTCTTTTTTTTCATCACATAATGATCGGGCTCAGCGCTAACGAATTGACTCGGTCGTCTAAATATAACAGCGACATTTTCGTGATACGGATGCTTAAGCATTGGGTTACGCCTCGCCAAAAGTCTCCGGCTGAAAAAATTAATCACGTCGATTCCTAACGAGCCGCGAAATATCAACGGACTCGCCGGAGGAACCGGTCGCGTTACGATTTATAGAAAGCTGATCATATTTACGTATTTTACGGAATACGTCGGTCATGAGCGCGACCATTTTGTGTGCGGAGCTACAAAAGTGTTAAAAATTAGCATTTTATTGATTGCAATAAGTATACTCGTGGCTCGCGTGTATGTGTATGCTATATATAAGCGGCCACATCTATAAATACAATCGGAAATGAGGGCTGCGTCCGCGGTGGAGCGACGAGGAAAATGACGTGGCGCGGAATAGATTGGCGTCGACCGAGACGCGATTACGCGAAGGAAAAGGGGAAAAACGAGGCGACTTTCCTTTTAAATAAACGAAACGTCCTTTCTTTCCCACCTCGACGGCGTTATCGGCGCTCTCGCGAAAGCTAGGTTAATTGTCGATCGAGGATGAAATTGGAGAGAGAATTCGCGACGCGCTGCTGTGCAAATGAGAGATGACAATATGGGAAAAATGAGAAACGAATGACGACGTAACGATGATAATAAAATAATGTTTAATTATAATTGACTTGAGAAATTATATGATGTCAGTATCTGAAAATGACAGTCATATACACATATATATATATATATATGTAAATGACTGTATATGTATATATATATATATATATGTCGAGGCTATAATATTTTTTGAATT